TGTAATCGACAAATCTTCATTTGAAGTGTCAAATTATTTTCAAAAGGTGATTTACTCTGTTTTACTCGCTACCATACACATCATACACACAGTTTATATCTGAACTATAACCTTTTATCCCAGTACTTCTGTGATTAGAATGTTTGTAACACAGAAATAATGATACAGTGTGGCTGAAAAGACTGTGAAGCTGTTTCATTCATGACAGACAGCTGCTCTCTTTAGGTCAATGGCAGCACGAACGCAAATTTAAATGTTCAAATCACACTGATGTGATCGTACTCTGCACGGACGATCCAAGTGATCACAACATTGATCACACACGTCAAAGGTTGAGGAATGAAACGGACAAATCATTGTATTTTAGGAATAGAATCACGTTAGTGTTTGAATCATGTTCGCGATTTTTAACTTTCTATTAAATTAAAGTGCTTTGTCATGTTGGTGGTGACACCTCTCTTGCAACATGTTTAGCTATCACAGATATTATAGCTTTTTTGGCTTCTGATGACAAATTTATACACAGAAGTGAGCGAAATCTGACAAAACCTCTTTTTGGGGACATCCTCGTTTGTAACAACAGTATTAGAATCAAAAGCACATGAAAGCATGCAAAAAGCAGAAAGTGTTTTTTTTTATTATTATTGAAAAAATTCAGAAAGTTTAGATAGCTCTGTGTGTGTGTACACAGAGGCTTCCAACTGCTAGCTTGCATTTTCTGGAATGACTGCTCACTTGAAAGTTAGATTTAGGGTTGGGTATCGTTTGAATTTTATCGATTCCGATTCTGATTCTGCTTATCGATTCCGATTCTTATCGATTCCTAGTTTCGATTCCAATATAAGTATCCAATTCTGGAATCGGAATCGATTTTCGATTCCCAACCCTAGTTAGATTGCATATAGCAGATCACTTCGGTTGACTAACCTGCCAGCAGGAGGGGAGCAAAGACTCTTTGATTATGTATGCTGGCAGGATTTCAATATAGACTTTCCATTAAAAATATACAATATCTAGAGAAGACACTTGATTATACTCTTATTTTCATTTCTGCTGATGTTGGGTTATTGCAAGAAGTAAAAGCAGAGTCCAGAATGAACTTTGTCATAAATATTGCCAAAAATAGTCATACACACACACGTATATATGTATGCATGTATGCATGTATGTATATACAGTGGTGTAAAAACGTTTTTGCCCCCTTCCTGTTTTTTTTATTTATTTTTTGCATATTTGTCACACTTGAATGATTCAGATCATCAAACTAATTTTAATATTACACAAACAAAACCCGAGTAAATACAAAATGCAGTTTTGAAATA